TTCTTCGGCCGTTTGTTTAATCTTCTTAATCGAATCTTCCTCCCACTCATTCACTTTCTGTATCAATGCTATGTTTCTTGGAACTTGTTTTTGTTCAGCAAGTCTTTGATAAAATTGATCACGATCATTTTCAATTTCGTCGAATTGTTTACCGATGATTTGACGGTGCTCTACTAAATGATCGAAACAAAAATCTTGTGAACATCCATTGCACTTATACGTATTTTTTTCTTTTTGACACATATAGCACTTCGCTCGATCACTAACAGTTGCCTTTGCCATGAATTGAATATGTTGATGATAAAAAAAAATGTATGTTTGCCGTGGAATGTGAAAGATAAAGTGAAACAATAGTTAACATGTGACATCGACGAGAGAAAACAACAAAAAATGGGTTGCTGTCGATAAACAACAGTACACTGTAAAAAAGCATGGAATAATCAACCCCTTGCCATCAAAGTTTTTTTTTTCATAAACTCTTGAAGGGTTTATGCGGATGATATATACCCTTGAAAGGCTCATGAGATGAAGGACTATTGATCATAAGGATATTTGAATACGCTAAGGGTATACATAACTTTTTTAAGTGTTTTATATTACATATTTTGGTTTGAAAGGTTTATTATTAAACGAATAGAGGTAGATTATCGTAAATATTTGCTAAAAAGGTTTCTTATTCAACAATCAGGAGTAGATCATTATACGGCTTAAGGAAAGCGCTTCTCAGTTCATCGCTAAAGGTTGATTATTCTATGCCTTCTAAAGAAGCGTTTATGGTAATACTTTGAAGAGTAGATTACTATACGACACCGCTAAAAGGGTACATTATTCTACCAACAAGGATATATTGATGGGCAACTTAACAATCAATTGTGGGTGTGGTATGAGTGTAAGTTAAGAGAAGACCAACACCCATACCCACACCCACACCCGAAAAATTCATAAGTATATCGTGCTACAATTAAAAATCTACCAAAACTACGAAATCAGGCAAAGTTTTCTGGCTAAAAAAGTTCTCATCAAATAGTCTTACAGAAACCCATTTACACACCATTTTCAGACACATTCTTAAGGCTATGTCATTTAGTTCTTTTTTAATTATAATTCATAGATCAGTATTTTTATTTTGAAGTCAGTACCGATCGTTTCATAAAATAATAATATATAACAATGAGACTATTTTTGTTGAAATTTTTGAACAAAACAACTAAATAACGCTATTTTCTGTAGCCAATAGATTATTACATTACAGGAGCGAAGAATTTTCGAAAAAAGGGTTCTGTTAAAGTTGCCATCAAACTTACAGTATTTCGACTGTTCTGTCTTGTTGATTATGTATGTCTTACTTTTATATTGATAAAGAATTCAACATAGAAAAACATGACACTTATACATGTGTAAACAAATTATTAGAAGTTCAATGATATACTGAATCACTAATACGTTTAAAAAGAAAACAAATTTCAGATATATGATTAATATCATCAAAACATTTTCATTCTAACTGAAATAGAGTTTTTGTTTCTTTGTAATTATACATCGACATAGAACACATTTCTCTACCTTAACCGAACATTCTTCACAGGTTGCTACATGTCCACATGGTAAAAATGCAACATTAGACGTCTGAATTAGACATAATGAACATTTATGTGCAGTGGATGATGAGGATGAAATTGAATTGTGTACTGGTTCAGTTTCACTCTTGTGTTCAACATCTGCTATTATTGCTCTGTCGGTAGAATTTTGAATAAGTTTTCTATTGAAATAAATTCGTTCGGCTGTTGATTTTTTCGAATGTTCATTGCCATGATCTAAACATTCATATGTATGATGAAAGAATGCCGATGAATTTTGACTTAAGACATGACAATAATGACATATAGTCTTTTCTTTATCTAAATAAAACATAAAAATATGATAGAAGAAGATTGATTAGATGTAAAAGAACTGCTTAATAAAAAAATTCTACTCTTAACCAGTGCCTACACTCAAAATACTTGTCGTATTCTAGAAATCTAAAAACGATTTATGATAGCCGGTTTTTGTTTATCGAAATAGTAGATATATACTTTAAGGATACACGTCTGAGTGTATGTTAACCTTTTTAATGAACAGAAAAGGATTCAGAGATTGTTCCACTTCCATAAACTGTTCTTTTAGTTTTCTGAATACAATAGTTTTTTGTTCATTTTAATTGCTTTATAAATTATATTCAATGTTGTTAATATTGAACAACATAGTGAATAAAAATCGTGCTTAACTCTGATGAATCTTTATATGTATTATTTTCTCAAAAGAAATTCGACATTATCTTTCCGTTACTCATGAGAAAATAAAAGTAATCTAGATATTAATTATTTCTTTTTAAATAAATAAATTGCCGTATTCTTTGTATATTTTATCACTTTAATATTACCTGTTAGTATTATATTTCTTTGAAATGATCCTGTAATAACTTCATAAACACATTTCATAAATAATATTTTTAGATGTCGTCGATTCGATTCCTGTGTACCAGGTTGTAATCGATTAAATATAATTTGCTTTGGTTCAAGAATTTCTCCCACTAAGGCAAACATCTCTTTATGATCATAAATTTTTCGAGTAATAACACTAGCACCACCAGTACCAAAGATACCAAATGCAAGCATGGATAGAGCAATTATGGAACCAGCTAGGACCAAACTTATATTAATAATTGCTGTTAAACGACTACAACTCATGATTATTCCAATGATCGTAATCAATGTTATAAAACCATATAATTTTATAATTCTTTGGGACGCAATTAATCCTTTCTTCATATTGTCACATGCCTCTGATGATGCATTATCCACTATTGGTCTTTATATTGCGTTTGTAGCTTGAATCACCGTTTCACCACAAAATTCATCCCAATTACAGTAAGCACGTTTGTTTTCGATATCTACGATCTTTTCCATTACAATATCAGACATTTTGGTTTATCTTTTTTTTTCTAGAAATCAAATGAAATAATGAAATTACATTGTTATGAAGAAACTTGTATATACAGAATAGAAAAGCAAAAACCATGTCTTAGTTAAGAATAGTATCGTATGCTTGCAAAATCTTGTTAAGTAGAGAAGAAACCTCGTGGTACATATTTGAGAATTTAGCATTAAATTTCATAGATTGAATCAAAATATGATAAGTTTGCGTACTGAAGATCATATGTAATAGAAAGTATTGTGTCTGTTTGCAGAAACAAAGAAGATTAAAACAGTTATCTCATTATACGATTTCTAGAACTTCGAAGTCTGGAAAAAAAGTGACAGTTTACTGCATCCTCTCAAATCTCTAAGCTTGATTTACTTTTTAAAACAAAGTCGCTCATCAATGAAACAATTATGCCACAGATTTGGTCCTTATTACGATGGGTCATATATATTAAATTTGAAACACACTAACTATCCCTGCATCAGACATTACCTTTTACTTATTCAATCGTCTTTGATTGTTGTTTCGTTTTATAATGAAATTTTTCCTACTTATACTTACCTTTTTGTTTTGAATAAAAGTAACTGAAAAATATAAATACGAGTACAAATTTATATGCAACTTTTCTTTCTGAGTTCTTATCGGTAGTTGTTTTTATTTGACAGACTCTTTTTGTATATTATCGGTGTCACATATGTTACCCTTGTCTGTAACTTGAATATTTCTATATCTTCTTATCCTTTGAGCCATGGATGTGGGCGTGCGTGTGCGACTAGTCTTCATCCACACGTACATCCACACTCACCCACGCCCACACTCTTTTTCTCCAAGTTGAAACAATTCCTCAGAACGTGCTCTTCAATTGTTAAAACCTATTTTAAAACGATTTTAGAGTTTGGGAGGAAATTTTTCGAAGATCCCTTATTATCATCGAAGACCTTCGACTTCTACGAAATTTCACATAGATGACATTGAGCACTATATCTTCAATCCTAAATGAAAAATTCAAAGATTTTCATCCAAATTCGGCCAAGTTCATTCAGTAAGAAAACTGTTTTTCATGTGGAATCACGATTTCCGAACACCCTCAGCAGAGAGATATGTACTGATGCATGTTATAAAGATTTCCGTGACACCCTCACCCTCAGGAAAGGACACTTGTGCATATGTGTATTTATGCGAAATCTCGACAAATTCGAGTAAAACACATCAATTCATACGATTTTTCTCAAATAACTTTGTTTTTATTTTTCATAGGAAGTGTTTCATTTGAGTAGAAGTAAAAATGTCTTTAACTTTAGTCAATTGATATGATATCTATCGTCTCTCCATACAAAAAAAAGAATCTTTTTTATTATTTGTAAAACATATGATAATAATTAGATAAGTGTTGAAAAAGTATACCTTAATGATCTCTGTGATATATTTATATCGTTGTCTGTTCAATTCTGTAAGTTTCTCAGTTGTCTCTGATCTGTTTCCAAAGACTAACATAGAGAAGATAAAAGTATTTGTTTTGATATCTTAGATCGAATTAATTGTTGTCATAAATAGTATGATGATTGATTGATTGTCTTTTACTTTTCTAGAATTCGATTTGATGATCGAAGAAGGCGAAGAAATGAAGTTTGAAAAGATATCGAAGAAAGAAGATTTAACAAATAGAAGAATTAATGAGAAGACTTTTTCCGTATGAAATATAAAATGTATTTCAATGATAATATGAGGAAGAAAGGAATTGAATAACAACGAATAAAAAAAACCGAGAAGGAGAAATCAATGTTTGCACTTGTGAACAATTTCAAATGAAAAAGATCGATCGTCAATATTCTTCTATTTATGGAAAATATTTGTTAAAAGAATATCATTTCATTTTTTTTCTTAAGATTTTATCGGTCTTTTATTTAATAAACAGTTCTAGTTTTCAATTGTTTTCTGTTCTCTGTTTACTTTTGACTGATACTTCAGTTTTACACTGGAATGTCCAATGTGCAAAAATTTTTTAAGAAAAAACCCGACTTGCCAACAAAAAAAAATCCAAGTTCTATCAATGAGATATCTTCTACCTTCGTCATTTATTCATTTCTAATTTGTTATTGAATTGTGAGAAATTGATCAGTTTTGTTCATGATATTCAAAAATCGATTTGATCAGACATGCTTAGAAAAACAACACATAAATCGTCTTATGGCATTGGATCGTAACATTGCTTCGACATGTCTTCTTCTCGTCTCTTCGAGTGCATGATAAAAATCTAAAGAGAACATAATCCTAAACGTTACCTGTTATCTAACTTCAGCTTACAGCGAAGTAAAACATTAGAGATACTTCATGGGAACTCAACCACAAAATACACAAGTATTTTCAAATCGATGAAACTTTCAGGATTTATAAGCCATAGTAAGCTATTAAGATTTCCAACAACAATTTTTTAAATTTCATTAATAAATAGGAACATGTCGAGTAGAACATTTTTTACGATTTTTATGTATAATCACACAAATTAGATTTGAGGGTGAGAGTCCAGGTGAGAATAATAGGTTTTTTAGATGATACTAAGTATTAATAATGAATATTTATTCAATAATACTTGTTTATTGAGTATTCGAGATTAAATAAACATCGAAAAAATTCCAAACAACACCCGAAAAGATTAGGAATTATGTTGATGATGAGTCAATTTCATACGCTTGTGACCAGTTTTCATTTCTGCTGGCTTATCAGTATTCTTCTCGAACGTTATCTGAAGTGATTGATGATTATCACTTATGGTAAACTGTCGTCCTTTTTCAATAAGCCATTGAGCCATTTCCATGAAGGAATTTGATGAACTTGGATGTTGTACAAATGTGATACTGTTCAAATGATTGACACGTTCGAGAACTAATTTCATACTGTCAATACTCTTCGTTTTTAGTTTTAAATGATCTATGTGAAAGGATACTACAGAACATATTCCATCCATCAATGGAGCCAAATCATCATCATCATAGGATAGACCGAGAGTGCGAACATTGCATGCTTGTTTGAACAAAATATTGATCGTGCTAATACGAAAAGGACGATTTTTTGGGACGAACAACCAGATTTCATCAAGTTGTGAAAGATCGATCAGTAACGGGAGATAGTCGAATGCATGAGACCACCATTTACCACCGATGTCTAGTACTAGTTGAGAGATGTAACGAATCTGGTGAATTGGTGGTAGAAACTAAAGTAACAGAGAGAAATGCAGTGTTTTCATGTTTTGATTCAATTCAATCTGATTCTTACCAAAACTATGTTCTCTAAAGATTCGGATAGACTAAGACTATGTCTGCCTTTTCACCCTTTGATGGTTGCGAATCATTTTCACTATATAGCTCTGAGAAGTTGTGAAAATCATGCATTATTCTTTCTATTTAAGACGTAGATTCCTATCCATTGATCAGAGAGAGAGAGAGAGATTTCTACGGAAAGAAATCGATATATAACTAAAAAAAAGACAGAATGAAGTGTCGTTGAAACAATTACAACTACCTTCTTTGAACAAACCGCTGCTACCATCCGAGCCAAATCGGAACGAACATACCATTTACTGCTCATATTTGCTGCATTATCATCTTTTGTAGTAAAAGTAAAGTATGATAAAATACTTTCTCGGGTATTGAAAGGAAATTCATTCCATGTTCCTTCGGATGAATAGAGAATAAGACCAGAATTTGATACATTATCGATAATTAATTGACAGGTGATAAGCCAACGTTTATCCTGTAACCAGAATGGTGTACGAAAAGCAGTGAGAATCGATTCAATAGCTTCAAATTGATACTCACAAATATTAATGACAAACTTAAATTTTTCAAGTAAACGAAGTTTTTGACAAAGAAATTTTTCCCATTGAGAGAAACGTTGAAGGAAATTGAATGGCACTTGTCGATTAGTCTTTAGATCGAGATGAACAAGTGAGGGTGTCAGCAAAAGAAGCAATTCAAGTTGATCAATCGACATACTCGCATTTCTCAATGTCAACGAAGTCAATCGAAGATTTGATTTTGAAAAGATCGTTTGAATAGGTTCATTGATATAACAATCGCTTAATGAAAATGTTTGAAGATTTGATAAATGATAAAGAATAGAACAAAATTGTTGATAAGAACACTCTCTAATAAATAATCGATGGAGTTGAAATGAATTTGACCAATTTATTTTATTCATTGTAGATATATCAACACACAAAATAAGCTGATGAAATTTTGACGGTCCGATAATCGAAGAAAAACAAGCAATTGTCTCATCTTGTAACGGATTATTGTTCTTCATAATCAGTGATAGTGAAGTGAGAGTAGAGATGGAAGGAATAGAAGACAAGATGTTGTTCAGGTTCCATTCTTTGTTGCAATAAATTCTCAACGAACGAAGTCGAGTGACGTAATCAATATGGATCGATGAAAGAGACGATCGAAAAGGGGTTGACATATCACAAGTGATTCGAAAGACCAATGAAATGAAATTTTCGAACGGAACTATTCGACAGATACGATTAATATCGGTTTTCTGTGATTCACTTGTTATTTTCATCGTGTATCGATTATAGGTATTGGTCACCGTATAAAATCGTCTGCAAACATAACGAAATGAAAAAACAATATCTTCTGCATCAAGTTGATCCAAAATGCCATAGAGAACTTCTACTGGAAGTGTAAGAAGAGATAATATTGATTGAATTGACATCGTCCAATGGTAAATGATGAAATTTGTATTTTAACTTTGTTTTTATTCTTCT